TGAGCATTACAAAATATGGGGTGGGGAAAATGCAAAGAAGTCACAAAAGGAAGCAGCAAGCATTGTAACTGTGGGTAACTTAGAGCTTCTCTGTAATGTAGTTAGAGAGAACAATGGTCAATATCCTGTCTGTGTCATTACACAAGAAAGGCAAATTGTTACACATATTACAGTGGTACCTCGGTTCTAAAAACAGCCCTGTTTATGAACTATTTGGTTTACGAACTCTGCAAAACCGGAAGTAGTGTCCCAGTTTGCGAACTTTACCTCGTTCTAAGAACAGAATCCGAATGCTGGAAGGGCACCGGCGGCGGGAGGCCTCATTAGGGAAAGCGCACCTTGGTTGAAGAACGGTTTCGGTTTAAGAACGGACTTCCGGAATGGATTAAGTTCATAAACCGAGGTTCCACTGTAGTTGAATCTATGTGGGATGAATTTTAATACTTAAATTTTAATAACTTAAAGCAGGCAGATTTACTTTCAGACACTCAAAAGTTAATTTTGCAGTTTGCCTGCCTTGCATGGGTTTGAACACATGTGACAAAGCCAAAGTAGCCCAGGATGATGTCATTTGGGCATGTGACTAAAGTGTCAGGTGTGCATAGGAAATAAATGTTCCCTGGCACAATTTTTCACCCTTGGAATAATTATGCCTTTGTGATCTGTGATTTATGCATTGCGAAGGGCATTATTTATTTACTTTGTTACTTTTTGTGCTTATGCTGATGTCCCATTTATACCTTGTTCTTGTTCTGAACATAGTATGCTTAGTGTTAAGTTTTAGACTTATTATAAGTTATTGTAAGTTTAAATACTAGGGCTTGCCGATCGAAAGGTCGGTGGTTCGAATCCCCGCGGCGGGGTGCGCTCCCGTTGTTCGGTCCCAGCGCCTGCCAACCTAGCAGTTCGAAAGCACCCCCGGGTGCAAGTAGATAAATAGGGACCGCTTACTAGCGGGAAGGTAAACGGCATTTCCGTGTGCGGCTCTGGCTCGCCAGAGCAGCGAAGTCACGCTGGCCACGTGACCCGGAAGTGTCTCCGGACAGCGCTGACCCCCGGCCTCTTGAGTGAGATGGGCGCACAACCCTAGAGTCTGTCAAGACTGGCCCGTACGGGCAGGGGTACCTTTACCTTTACCTTTAAGTTTAAATTAAGTCTGCTGCAACTGGCTTTCTTATGGACAGGGCCAATCCTGAATGTATTGGATTTGTGACCATTATGCTCATTTGCCTTCAGTAGCAGTAAAGCTCCCTGCAGGATGAAATACAATTGCCTCTGACCTCCAACAGTTCTGGTATGGCCCCAGTACCCAGCAGTCTTCAGGGGCATTAAATGATACTACAGTACCTCTGCAATATTTTGCTCTATTTGCACTAGTCCACTGTTATGCTGACGATGGACTGTGCATGGTCCAGGTTGAGGGAAGCATCAGACAGGCACGCAGGTTGAGCAAGTGGGATAGAGGGGTGAGCAACTGGGGCTTTTGCCAGTAGGGCAAGCAAGAAGAGTGGCGGGGGCAGAGCAGATGATCAAGAGAGGTGGTGAAGTGGCAGAGTGGGTGAGCAGCAAGGGCAGTGGGTGAGCAGGTTGGGTTCTGGTGGAGGGTGTTGAAGAAGCCAAGTGAGCTGCGGTTGTCATGGTGAATGGGTTGAGAGAGAGGGATGGCCCACTTGTGCACAGCAGCACATACAGGGGCATAGCTGGTGAGTAAGCTGGGCTTCTGGTGGTGCCGCGGGTTCAACAAGGGTGTAATGAGCTATGGAGATCGCCAGAGTGGTGCATGCTCTAGTTATCTCTCGCTTGGACTACTGCAATGCGCTCTATGTGGGGCTACCTTTGAAGGTGACCCAGAAACTACAACTAATCCAGAATGCGGCAGCTAGACTGGTGACTGGGAGCGACCGCCGAGACCATATAACACCGGTCTTGAAAGACCTATACTGGCTCCCAGTATGTTTCCAAGCGCAATTCAAAGTGTTGGTGCTGACCTTTAAAGCCCTAAACAGCCTCGGTCCAGTATACCTGAAGGAGCGTCTCCACCTCCATTGTTCTGCCCGGACACCGAGGGCCAACACCGAGGGCCTCCTGGTGGTTCCCTCACTGCAAGTAGCAAAGTTACAGGGAACCAGGCAGAGGGCCTTCTCAGTTGTGGCTCCCGCCCTGTGGAACGCCCTCCCACCAGATGTCAAAGAGAAAAATAACTACCAAACTTTTAGAAGACATCTGAAGGCAGCCCTGTTTAGGGAAGCTTTTAATGTTTGATAGGTTATTGTATTTTAGTGTTTTGTTGGAAGCCGCCCGGAGTGGCTGGGGAAACCCAGCCAAATGGGCGGGGTATGCATAATGAATTATTATTATTATTATTATTATTATTATTATTATTATTTGAGGGGGAGGGACTCAGGGAGGGGAGGGGGACTTCGGCAAGGAGCAAGGGCCTTTCAGAGGAATAAGAGGTGCTGTGCGGAAGTTGGTGAGTGAAGTTAGAAGGGGCGTCAGCCCATAGTTGTTGTATACTGTAGCAGGTGGTGGAAGCAAACCAGGAACTGGAAACAATATTGGAGTTACCAGCATTAATCCAGCCCTTCTGTCTGCTGAAAGGCATTATGGCTTCATAAAAGCATGGTAGGAGGAGGCCAGTGAGGTGGGGTGGACATTTTCCCAGTGCTTTATTTTTTCCACAGCGGGGAAAAAAATCTGTTTCCTAAGTTCATAAGTAACAATGAATGGATGCCAAATGCAAATATAATGGCAAGCTTGGCAGTTTCCATGTGTTTAGGTTTATTCTACCAAACCAACCACTATGCTGTGAAGTAGAGGGCCTCCTTCGGATACTGCCTCATCAAGACATCCATGCTGTACTTAGGAACTAAGCCTTTGGCATGGTGGCACCTAATTCCTACTTCAAATTCCTTCCCAGTACATATCAGACAGGCACCATCTTTGTTGTTCTTTCAAGACCTAATTGAAGACTTTTCTTCAAAAATAAGCTTTTCAATTGAGATCTTTACCCTAGTCTTTATTTGCACTAGACCTGAAAAGGTTTTTACATGATGAAAGTGGTATTAATTGTTCTTATAAATGAAATAGTGTACTTGTTTTATTGCTGATGGTTTTATTGTGAAATAACTTTGAGATACTTTATGGGACATTATTCATAAGTGGAATTAATTAATTAATTTACAGGTAAAATTAAATGTGCTAAATTAGATAATTCTTTATGACACCAGAAAATGTTCCAATACAACCAGAAAATTATCCTAAGATTTATTTTCTGTGTTTTTAGTGATTCCTGTTTTTATCTGTAAGTAGACTTGAGTCCCATCAAGGAAAAAGTCAGAGTATAAATAAATTAATAATGATAATGATAGATCACCTCTACCTCTTTCCCTTTATGCAGATGCATGGGCTATGTATGCCAATAAACCAGAAGAAAACAAAACAATTTTGAAAAAGGAAAAGTGTTAAGTCCTTCATAACATGCTATATCTGAATATTTTTACTCAAACGTATTTTCTGCTGTGTTCAGTGGGCTTACCCCTGAAAATGTGTAAATAGACATACAGTGGTACCTCGGGTTAAATACTTAATTCGTTCCGGAGGTCCGTTCTTAACCTAAAACTGTTCTTAACATGAAGTACCACTTTAGCTAATGGAGCCTTCGCGCCGCCGGAGCACAATTTCTGTTCTCATCCTGAAGCAAACTTCTTAACCAGAGGTAATATTTCTGGGTTAGCGGAGTCTGTAACCTGAAGCATATGTAACATGAAGTGTATGTAACCCGAGGTACCACTGTATAGCCTAAATTCAGCATTTTACTGAACAGACTTTCCTTTTGTGTTTCTCATTGTCACCAAGCACTGTTATCAATATAATGAGTTTAGCAAAATATATGTTATGCCTTGTGGTTTATTAAAACACACCAGGATTCAAATGCATCCATTAAATCCTCAACCTTCTTTATAAAAATAGCTTACAGGGAAAGTGTAATAATACACCTTTTGAAATGATTAACCGTAACATAAGCTCAAATGCAAATATGTGCAAATAAAGGAACTTGGAACGTATTGATGGCTTCAAGGCATTTTTAAAGACAATTTCCTGATTTATAGGTTGCAAAAGAGGCCTGCTTAGTACATCACTGACAAAAACTGGTTTACCCTAGCTTTCATGTCGTATCTTAGAAATGGATTAGTCATTTCACTCATTTGGTGTTTGTTGAAAGCAGTCCCCCTCTAAAAAGGGACTAAAGTGTTCTGAGCACAGTCAAATAGTTTGACTTGGTTATTACTAAAGTGCAAGACTAAGGAGGAATATATACAAACGTTTGACTTTTCTACTCTAAGTGCATTTTTAAGTCCTGAGGCATTTGACCACCGCCTACTGTACTACATGTCAATGTCATTTTAAAAAAATATTTGCATAACTGAAGGATGGGAGCAAGGAAAATGCTCATATAGAAAGCATTAGACAACCATCTCTCTTAAAGTCACAGTTGAGCAGAGAGTGTTACGTACTCACAGGCTGAGAAGGTAGTTCTATTGTATACATGCCTTTAAAATAATTAAAAACTACATCAATATTACAGACGGGATTTTGCAGGGGCCCATTTTGAGAAAACGCTGGGTGGTAGCTGTCACAAAATGGCTGCCATGGTGGAGACCCAGCCAGTCACAAAATGGCTGTCGGGGGGGGGGAAGCGGCGAACAATCACAGTATTTAATAATGCAGCAAAGCATCCATTATACAAAATGCAAAGTGGTGAGGCTAAGCAATAAATATATTGCCCAAGAGATGTGGTATATGAACCTCCAAACACAAGGCCACTCATTTGAACCCCATTTGCTGCTCAAACACACCTATTTTACTGAAGACAAGCCAATTAATTCCCTCCAATTCATCTCTAAATAAAAGTAATGCTACATACGCACATACACACTTTCCCTCTCAGGATTAAAACCTCTGGGCCCTCCATTTTTCTCCCCACCTCCATTTCCTACCTTGGTTCCACAGAGGCACCGGCACTGCCATTCATTTACTATCTTTGTATCTCCTCTTAGCCCATCCGCTGGTCTCCTTGTTGGCTGTGTCCAGTGTGAACTGTTCCCACTCTTCTTTTTTCTGCATCTGCTGGTCAGTCAGGAGCCTGGCACTGAGGGGTACAGAGAGCCTCGTGGGGTATGCAGCCAAGTCTGACTACGTGGTTGGGCTGGGCTTTTGCTCTTCCTCCTGCCTGCCATCACTTCTTCTTGACGCTCATCTTGTGGTGCTAAAAGGACATCAGCACCTATATTATGGAGCTTGTTTCGTGATTTTCCCCGTTAGGTTTTATGGGGCTCAAGTTACCTGAATTCAGGGAAGGGTTGTTTGTTCATTCAAAGCATCTTATACCTATTGTCAGCTGGGGAAACTTTTTACACACACACATAATCTGCCCTTGGACTTAAAATCTGAAATGACACAACAGAAAAAGGAACAGGGAAAGTAGAGGAAAGCTCAGGCATCAAACTTGATTTTTCAATGACCAGCTTGGATGGAAATGAGCAGCTCACAGTTCAAAAAGCAGGTCTTGGCAGCCTTTCAAGAATACCCTAGTGACCCAGATGTCCTGGAAATGGCTGTAAATGCAGCCGATAAGTTGCTGTTTTTACAGTGTGAGGCCTTGGCCTTTGGGGGCTAGCTGTAATCATCCGCCGCCTTGTCAGTCCCATCATGGCACAAAGGTGCTGTTGATACCATTGCCTCAGAGTGTCAGGTCCTGCTGTTCCTCCTTACAGGACAGGTGGGGCGGATGATCTTTGTGAGGGGAAGCAGAGGCTAAGCCCAGCTGCTGAGAGAAGTACTGAGGGAACCTGGACATTCCTCTGTGTCTCGTGTTTCTGAGAGTTAGCAACAAAGCTGTGGGCTCTTCATATTTGAGGCCTTCGGTGTAAAAGGCCTATGAGAACCGCACTCAGTGCTCCCGTTAAAAGGGCCCTGTCTGGTTGGCAAAATCCTATAGAGTTGATTGTTATCTGCTCTAAGAGATTCTGTAGAGCTGTAACATTATGAGGCAGGGATGGTGGGCTCAGAAACTGGCAGATGCCCGCTGCATTATATTTTCTTTGAACCTTCTAAATAATTGGTGGGTCCTCTGTGGTGACAATGAAACAACTCTGCAGTGCTATTTTTCTGGAAAAAGAGGTGCCACAACTTGCCATGAACCTTATTCTCTTATAACAGCCATGGCACCCATGTGAGATGTGCCGGAACTGAGTTCCGGTGAGTTCTGGCTGAAAAAAAGCCCCTGCAACTCTGCATGTGATTTATGAGACACTAAGTCAGGGGTCGGCAAAATTTTTTAGTCGTGGGCCGGTCCACTGTCCCTCAGACCTTGTGGCGGGCTGGAGAAGCTGCACTGGGGGAGGACTGGAAGAAGAGGCGAGGGCGGCAAGTAGTCCTCCCCCCACCCCATCCCCAACTGCTGTGCTTACCTTCCCAGGGGCTGCCACCACCACCGCTGCTTCTGCTTCTTGTGGGTAGGCATAGCGAGCTCGTCTGCTCTGCTCTCTGGCCCACAGGAGCGCCAGGGCGGCGGCAGAAGGAAGATGAGCAGCATGAAAGGGCTGGCTACGGAGAGGGACTGCTTAAAATGGCGCTCAACCCAGCCTCCTTCCTTCTCTAGGCAGGGCGGGGAGAAGCCAGGAGGAGGGAGGGAGGAGGCGCCGCCGCAGTATGTGTGAGGGAGAGGTGGGGGAAATGGAATGGCACAGAAAAAAATATGGCGCAGCCCAAACGAACATAATCCCCACGTCGATCCACAGACAGTCCGCAGGCCAGATCCTGAAGGCAATTGGGCCTGATCCAGCCCGCAGACCTCAGTTTGCTGACCGCTGCACTAAGTAATGGTGGGAGTGCCCCCAGAAGAAAAAGGGTTTCCAGGTAGACTTGGCCATAATGTTTGTTGCTAGACATGCTTTATGCTTGGAGATTGCACCTTAGAAATGCATCCTGTGCTAGTAGCAGCAAACTTATATCTTTAATTGTGTTTCTTCCACAGTGGCATATAAATTGAGGGATTGGGGTACACAGTATGGAGAGCCAATTCCCCCCCCTAAAGGTAACACAGCCAGTGGCGGGGCTGCATGCTCCACTGCTGGGGGCTGAGAGCAGGCAGGGGTGTGGCTGGTGCCCCGGGGGCGTGGCCGTGCATCCTGGGGGGCGTGGCACACTGCCCACGGGGGCGGGTGTGCATCCCGGGGGTGTGGTACGCCGCCCGCAAGGGCGTGGCACGCGTTCTGGGGGCATGGCGCCCAGTGCATGAGGGGGGTGCGTGGCGAGTGTTGGGGGGCACCGTGATGGCACCCTACCGGAATTGTGGTGCTGGGGGCGGTCCGCTGCCTCCGCACCCCCGTTCCTCCACCAGTGAACACAGCATTGTGTTAGAATAAATATAAAAGTGACTTCGAAATTATTTTGAGCTGCATATTCTAGCTCTGGAGAAGGAGCCTTCAGTAGGAAGGGTAGTGAGCTTCTGCTTATGATGGAAATGAAACTAGGCCCTTTTCAAGCCAAGAAAGTTACTGCTTGTCAACAGCATCCAATACAAGCTTACCCAACAGTGTCAGACACTCTGCCCTCTCCCTGCAAGGTCTTAGGATTGTTTCATACTCCTAGTTCAGAGCTTTTCAAACTGTGTGTTGCAACACATTAGTGTGTTGCCTGCAGTGTGCAGGTGTGTCACGCAAATACTCCCTACGCTCCTCCCGGGGCTGGGAAGGGGTTAGTTTAACCTCCGTTTTGCTAGTAAAACTGAATTACTGTGTTGCAAAATGATGCATGTCTAAAAAGTGTGTCACCAACATGAAAAGTTTGGAAAGCTCTGTCCCAGTTGAATGAACTGCAGGTTGGGGCAGGGCGGAGTGGGAGACTCTTGTTTTAAGATGACCTTAGTTGTTGTTTTTTGTAATTGGCACCACTAGGTGGCGGTTGCAAGCAACAATGACTGAGGATAATATAACACAGTCCCCCACAGTAACCAAGGTAATAAAAAAGGTTCCCCACAATCTGCAGAATCTATCATATGCAGGACGAGAGGATGGAATTGCATATAAGATTGCAGGAGAAAATGAAAATAGGCAGAGACGGAAGCTCTTTTTTTGCTGTAGTACAGTATTTTGAAATAAACTTCCAGAGGGGTAGTATATTAAAAGAAACAAGGAAAAATGTGGCAAATATATAAGCTAGAGTCCACTTGATCAGATGCATAAAGTATAATCATTGACAGGTAAAGGTGTATGTATGTATGTGCGTATGTATGCATGCTGTGATATATTTTTATGATACAGTGGTAAATATTTTTTATAAATATTGTAATAGGTGAAGGGCAAAAAATGCAAAAGTATAGCCTGTGACAATTCAAATCAGAGCTGAAATGTGTGACAAATAAGCAGTAACTTTTATGAAAAGTTATTACAGGGGTAATAAATTAGGGTTGCCATATTTCAAAAAGTGAAAATCCGGATACAAAAGTTTTGGGTTTGTTTTTTGTTTGTTTTTGGGCAAAGTTGTTGAGCTTTCTTAAATGAAATGAACACAAAATCTACCGTACACTACTGACATGGGCTGGCATACATCCGGAGATTCCCGGACATTTAAGTGATTTCCACCCAGATGCTGCTTACGAGGGCTGAATGTCTAGGAAATTCCATATGTATGGCAACCCTAAGAAATGTTAAAAATCATGCTAGCATTGCTAAGCTAATACCTGCAATGGGACGGGAAACAATTGTCTCTATTCAGACAAAATACATAGAATCAAGCATCACTATTGGAGTCTCCCAAGAAAATGGCCAATGTCCTTGGAGAGTAAAATGTTATCCTAGTGTTTTCTGATAACAGTTTTATGTCATCTCTTCTTTTGCATTGCAGAGAGACTAGCATGTTTGTCTTGTGCAGAAAAAGCAGAAAGGCATTAGTAGTAGACAGCAGTATATACCACATTGCAAGATTAAGTACCAAATTACCAATATACCACTCTTTATTTTGCCTCTCCTGGATCAACAGAACTGTTGGTAAAACATGAAGTTGGACAGTTTATCTGCGTTTTCCATTTAGTGTTTTCTTAAGCAACAAATGTGCACAGTATAGCCAAGCTTACTTGCAGTTCCAAAGATCTAACAAAGATCTCTCTCTTACACCCCTGATTGGAACACCTTGATTAGTTTTTTTCAGTAGACAGTAAAATCTTGTGAGAGTGATGCAACCCACCACTTAGATTTCATCAAAGTATATTCTAAGAAAAATTGAGCTAAGTATGCTTCCTATCTTAATGGGGTGCGTGCATTATAGGAGTACCACACAGCTACTCCCATGTAATAAATAAAATAAAATAAAATAATAAATAATAATTTTATTTATACCCTGCCCATCTGGCTGGGTTTCCCCAGCCAATCTGGGCAGCTTCCAGCACATATAAAAACGTAATAAAATGTCAAACAGTAAAAGCTGTATGCTAGTTGTTCTTATTATAAAGTGTTTTACAGCATGATGCTGTTGCAATTACTATTCATATTAAGGATGGTCCTATTTATCTGATAAATATATATGGTTTATTACATGCCATATTTTAGATCACATTCAGTATAATAATTGCTGTTACTTTATTAACTATGTCTACACAAAAGTAGTTCAGTAGGACTTCCTCTTACACAAGTATGGATAGGATTTCAGCCTTAAAAATACTTTTCTTCAGATTTGCCCCTTAATCTATTTATAGAATATCTTGTACTGCTAATTCATTAAAAATCAGTGCAGTTCACAAGAACTGTAAATAAATTCTTACAATGAAAACCAAATAACGAAGTTAAAATAAGAAATCAGGTAAGTAACTATTGTGGTAAATATTCAGGTAAATATTATTCAGATGGTCATTTCCAGTCAGTGCCTAGCACTAACAGGATAAGCCTTCCTAGTATGTGCCTGTTAACAGAAATTGGGAAAGGACATATATAATGGAAGTGGTGGCTACATATGATGACCTTGAACTAAAGACTTGCTTCCTGGGTGCTTTAAAACTAAGCTTTATCTCATCGGGCATCGTCTATGGCACATAAACCGTGCCTTGTTTCCCTTTCCCTTTTTTCACCGATTCCTATTCGATTCCACCCTTCCTGCCCCGCACATGGAGCTCCTACGATATGCAATCGGAAACCTCAAATTCCCTCTGCCAACCTCTTTGAGGCTATCTTGGCAATAACAAACCGCCACCCCCCTCCCCCGCCGCTTCGGTTGGCTCGGACGGCTGCATGTAAATAGAGCAGCGTGCGCGCATTGGTTCGCTTTCGTTCGGAGGGCGGGGGCTGAGGAGGGAGGGGAGCGCGCCGAGGAGAGATATAGGAGCGCCAACTGCCGCTCGCCTCAAAGCACGATAAGGTTTGAGCGCAGGGGAGGGCGCGGGCTGGCGGGTGGTGGTGGGCAGCCGCGAAGCAGCCGGGGCTCTTCGGTGCACGTCTTCGCGACAAGGCAGCGGCCATGCTGTGCTATGTGACCAGGCCGGACGCGGTGGTGATGGAGGTGGAGGTAGAGGCCAAGGCCAACGGCGAAGACTGCCTCGACCAGGTGAAGAGCCGCGCGCGTTCGCTCTCTCTCGCTCTCTCTCTCCCCCCCCTTCCCGCAACCCGCCGTTGGTGCATGAATGGTCGTTGAAGGAGCTCGCGACCCACGAGCCGCGACGGGGCTGTTCTCGCGCGCTCTCTGCTTCGCCTCGAGATTCTCCGAACGAGAGCCGCCGCCTTTTCTCGTGCTAGGTGGGACTGGACACAGAGCAGCTGGGGATCGGGATGGGGGGATGCAGGCAAGGGGAGGGGGATGCAACGGCCTCGGAGCTGCGGAGGCTGCAGCGACGCTGCTGCTCTGGCTGCCTCCCACGCGTTGCTTACTGAGCTGCGGCTCCCCCCCCCCCGCCCTGAAATTCGCCCCCTTTTACTAGCATTAGCCACGTGGCACTTTGCAGGGGCGATGGCAGGTGACTTGACTGCCCCCCCCCAAATGTATCGCCCCTGCATGGGGAACACTATGCTTGGCAAGGCATGTGGACTAATCGTTAGATTTGTTGCGGCAGGCAACTGAACCCTGCAAGGCTCTAGTTTTCGTTGGCACCACGTGGTGTAAATGTACATGGCACATGTGAGCGTGGGATTGATTGAACCGTCTGCTTTCAACCTGTGCATGGAGAACTTCAGGGTTTTATGCAGTGGTCCAGCTGCGCCCATTGTTTATGCTCATTTAACCCAGAACGTTCACCCAACTGTACATGTTTTTGGCAGGAGACCCAAGTCTTTGGATTTGGTGTTTACAACATGGTGAATGTTCTTGCACAGAAGGGTCATTCTTTCTACAAGCTTTAGGTATGAGGTGTTGGTTCTGGCACCCTAAGAGCAATCTGAGTTAGCTTGTCATTTTGTAG